GTTGCGGAGAGTTTGAAAATCTGGTGCCATCGTAGCTCGGAACGACTTTACAGCCACTAGAAATAACAGCAGTCCTTGTCTCTGGATACTGTTGGGTGGTTCCATTTACTTCACTACCTGAGGTGACTTCATCATCCTGACCTACCCGGGAAGCAGCTTCTCAGAATGTTTTTTAAAAGGTTAGCAACCTTGGCCCACAGTCATAAGCAGAAGGCTTCCCACGGTGCACTACCAAGCAAGCTCTTTCAAACGGGGAGACCTCCAAAGCTGTAGGAGCCAACATAACTAAGAAGCAGGGGTTAGAGGAATCAGAAGTCTGAAGATAGGGTGCAGAGTTGAGAACGGAGGTGCACAACCCTTTCACAAGGTCCTCCGGGAGATGGTCCGTACTATACCTAAGCAGCTGAGCTACACCTGGGCTGGTTGTTCATCTTAATGCAAGAGCAAAACTCTGTCCACCTGAGCCCATGCTCGGGGGCAACGGTGGCCACAATCACTATGTTTAATGAATGCAGACTTCAAGGGCTACTGATGACACATCACAGGGAAGTCCCTGGGCAGAGAGGTATTGCTGCCCAAAGACTGCTGCCTGCAAGAAGGCAGGGATTGACCCACAGCATACCCTGATCATCTGCGTCACAATCCCAGTTCAGTCTTGACTATCTTAATCGTATTTAAACCCTTCCTATTGGTACAGTTATAGTCAATGAAGTAGCTTTCATGAAGGGTGGGAGGAAAGGAGTGAGCTAAATTTCACACACTGTACACAAAATGTTACAAGATCATGAGTGATATGGTGGAATCTCCAAAGATGATCTGGTTTTCTGAAGGGCAGAGGCAGTAGGAGAAGAGAACCAGAGGCACCTTAGCAAAGTGAAAGACAATCAACCAAAGAGCACAAAGCCCTACAGCCCTTCCAAAGGGCACAGAGTGGAAACTGAGCCTGGAAGGATGTGTGTGGAAGATGGCATAGGGCCTTGAAAGGCGTGGTGGTAAAGGAGTCTGGAGTCTACCCAGAGGCTTCAGAGTATGGGAACAGCAAAGTCAGTGTTGCAGCCCACGTGACTTTGGGACCTGAGGAGAGTATGTGAGGTGGGAGGATCAGCTGTGTGTCACGTACTCCACAAGCACTGGCTAGTCCTGACCTCACCGCACCAGTCTTGGGTGGGCCGGTCCCTTCACGCACATGTAGCCTTGCCTGAACAGTGGACATACTTGATCTCATACTGGTTGGCCAGTTCTAAGATGATTTTCCAGTCTTGCTTTGCTGACTGAGAGGAAAAATTTCTAGGTGTGGCTTTGTCTTTGAATGGAGTCCCAGAATAGTAGGAAAGATGGTCTTCAAGGGCAGTAGGTCTTCGTGTACTCTTTAGATACCCTCTCACATCAGTGACCTCAGACTCACTTACTTCATCTTTGAAGACTGGCTATATCAAATGGTAGTGTTTTTATTTGTTCCGTTTTGGTCTTTGTTGTAAAGTTTCTGTTTCTACTGGTCTGTTTCTATGGCTGTATACCTGTTAATATCCAGAATATTCCAATTGAGGATTCAAGCTTGTGATACGAACAATAAAGATAAAGTCTAGGCTTAATTTTAAACTGTTTATCAGTGCTGAACAGGTAACTTCAGTATGCACACTCTGTCAGGGCCAGTGTCACTTGAAAGGGTTTTAATACCTGCCAATATTACATTAATTTTGAAATGCCAGTTTTGACTGAGAAAGGCCACTCCAGGATCAGATCATATTATCAGAATCTAAATGAGCCAAGCAGTACTGCAAGGAATTACAGATGGACATTATTATCCACAAGACAATCAGAACCTTAGGCAAAATCTATGAGTTCAAATAACATCAGATTTAACATTATTTATGACTATTCTTTGTTTTCCATCATTCGCATAACTGAAAATATGTGAAGTAGAGGCAAAGGACAGGACCAGAGAGTTTAGATAACAAAAGAGGTTGACTGGCCATATTGAATGACTGCTTTAAACAGCACAGAGAGCTGATCCCATCCAGTCCTGGCCAATTGCATTATATTCAGTGGAGGCCCCGCTACTGTCCATAGCTAGGGTGGTCAGATCCACACAACAGGGGAAAAAAATCAGTAACCAAAATGAATCTCAGACTAGAATACCAGTAGCTAAAATCTCTCAGGATATCTCAATAACATGCCAAAGGTATGACTTCCAAAAGCATGTCAGCTTGTTTCTAGGCCTTATATATAGATTGACTTAGTGCATTTCAGAATACAAATCCATTTTCAACATTTTCTGCCTTTTGACTCAATTCAAAGAGAACATGCTTCAGGCTCTTAAGGCAGTTCCAAAAGCTCCCATGTTCTGAGAGTGCCCAGCATGGCTTACGTTCTGGTAGATGTTAACATATCAGACTCATTACTTTGTGTCCATACTTTTGCTCACTTTAGAGAGCCAACGGCAGCCTCAGGCCCTTTAAAGTAGCATTTGTGAAACTACAGATTTTAAACTCTTTCAGAACAGCAGAGGAAACAGCAGAGTTCATCACATTTATATGAAACAGACCAGAACTGTCATGAAATAACTTTTCCCCAAAGAGATGGGTTAAATTATTGCCTGTGGGGCTTTTGTTTTTAATGGATAGCTGAGAAAGCCTACAGTTATGGAAAATTCAGTACCTACAGCATCTAATAACTGCAAAATGGTTAGAATATGGTTCATTAGAACAGATAATAACGCTTTTTAATACCTTAAATTCTTTGATAGCAGCAAGTTCCTCCTTGTAGAGGAGTCTTTTTCCTAGAAAAAGCTTTGTGAATATAAAGGAATAAGTTTCTTCTTTTTATTATGCTTAATGTAAATGTTATGGGAAACACTTGTAATTGCTATGCACCTTCTTTATGAGAAAAAAAAAAAAAAAAAAAAAAAGCCTGCATGCTCCTAAGGTCTGTTACATCTGCTTGGTGAAAAACCTTTCTCTTGTGATTTTGTGTTACATTTTTCTGCTCTGTGTAGCAGCTGTGCACTCCTAATGACTTCCCTTATTAGGTAGCTCCAGTACTTTCTGGGGTTTGAATCATATACTATATAGAAAATTTGGCTTTTCAACAACCTTATATTTGGCTAATGGATGATGATGTTTCACTATCATTTTTTGCCACTGCTGTTTTTCTAAATGAAGTTTACTTAAGTAAAATTAGAGTTCATAAATAATTTCTTAAGGACAATCATATGTGAACGAAACATGACAATTTACTAGGCCATATGTTTGTGTCATTTCAGGAATGAGGCTTCAGAGTCAATTTGCAGTCTCTTGGGTATAAAAAGAAGCTGTTAGGCCTATAACTATATGACAAATTATACTGGACATTTTACTTGTTGGAAATTCCTGTTCATCCTGCTGGACTCTGTAGAACTGGCAGCTCTTATTTACTCCCATCATTTTTGAGGCTTCTCTATTAATCTCAGTGACTTACAGTATCTTTTTTCTTATAAACTTTAATATAGTCAACAAGAAATATTCTTGTGTATCAAAATGCCTAAATCAAAATCTGGAATAAAGTTGATGACTGATGAATTAGTAAAGAGTGAAAATGTGTTCATTTTCTCAGCTTTCTTTTTGTTATAGTTCTTGTGATCATTATATCTGAGGTTGGGTTTGGGGGCTGTAATGGCAACTTCAGTGCTAGCAAGTGAGTGAATACTTTATGTCTTGAATGGGTATTTTACATATATCTGAAAAGGACAAGCACTGAGCACTGTGTCATGCTATTTCCTTACCTTAAACACTACAGAGTGTTCATACAGAGACCCAGATAGTACAGGTCAACATAGTCTCTTGATGCAATCAAGAGACACAGGAAACACAAGGTGTATGAGACTGCTGCCATTGTGAAATGGCATACTGATCTACAATAACCTTTCTTATAAGTACGAGTACCTCTAAAATAGTTATTGAAAAAATAGCACAGTAAATGCAGAAGCCAGTAAGATACCTTATTATCATTAAGATACCTTGATTATCAAGTTTATTATGTGCTGTACATAATTGCATACACTGTACTTTATACGACTGACAGTACACTGTTTATTTCTGTCAGCATCACTACAAACATGTAAATAGTGTGCTGCACTCAGATGTTTGCAGGGAATTAATGATGCCAGGCCGTAGGAATTGTGCAGCTATAGTGTAGTCTTATCACAATACTGTCTTAGACATGCTCGTGTTGACTGTAACATTCCTACACAGTGCATGACTGTAGTTACTTGCTTTCTAAAGCTTATTTACTATATACAGTTTCCTGGTTCATCTAGGTTTTGTTATATAACCACAAATCTAGTTCATATGGTTAAAGATGGCAAATAATTACCACAGTTTGTCATCTTCTAGGCTGTATTTCATGTTATTGTTACTGCTGATTGTACTACTTTACCCAAGGTGACATAAGTGCTCTAAGTAGTTATTCTTCCTGGTATACCAAGATTGAGATTACTCAAGGGTCATATATAATACAACAGGCCACTGCCAAAGAACCAGGGCTGGGGCCAAGTAGGCAGCAACTTCTCATCCCCAATAAACTGAAATGGCAGGATCTTAGAATAAACACAAAACCTCAAAGCCAGCTACACCTGCAAGACATCTCTGAGAAGTAGTCATTTCCTAAGGGTTCTAAATATTAGCCATAAAGCTATGCACCATAAGCAATTTACAAGCATCAACCCAGGAATTAAACTAAAAAAAAAATGAGAAGACACTTAAGCAAGATGCAACTCCACACTTCCAGCAAAGGCAACAGGGGAGAATGAAGTAGAAAAATTCCAAAGCCACCCACCTATACTTTTTGAAGTGGTAACAGTGGAAGAAACAAAGCTCTAGAAAAAATTAAATAAATAATTTTTCAGATAACTATAGAGATGGTGACTGTAATGAAAGACATGCTTAATGACTCTAGAGCAGATACAGACAAAAAACTAGAGGGACTTAGGAAAATGAAGGTATCAAATGGAATCCATGAAACAAATTCAAACAGATATTTAGGAGATTAAAAATTCCAGGGAAAGTATACACAGCAGAATGAGTCAATGTGAGGACAGAATATCAGATACAGAAGACAGGATTGTGGTTACTGATCAGGAAAAGAAAGATTTTTTAAAAATAGCAAGGGACCACAAAAATCAATTCAACAGCTGCTATATGATGCAAAGATGAATAACATAAGGTTGCTCAGAGTCAATAAAAAGCAGGGAATAATGCAAATTGCATAAAAAAAACCTGTACATAGAAGTAATGGCAGAAAGTTTTCCAAGTAGAACAAAAGAATTTGTCGTATAAATAAGTAATGCATACAGAACTCCAAGTAGCCATGATCAAAAAAAAATTGCACCAAGGCCTATAAAAACAGTCAAGATTCCAGAAGTTCAACACTTCTAAGAACATAATATTAAAAGGTGTTAGAGAAAGGAAACATACCATCTATAAAGGAAAACCCATCAGAATCACCTCAGACTTCCAACACAAACCTTCAAGTCAAGCAGAGTTTGACATGAACTATTTTAAGCTCTGAAAGAAAATAACCTCCAACCCAGACTGATGGACCCTACAAAACTATCTTTCAAAATTGATGAAGAAATAAGATACTTCCATGCCAAAGAAAACCTTAGGAAATTCATGATCACCATATCAACACTCCAAAGTGTTCTGAAGGACATTCTAGAAATAGATAACAAGGACTAAAACTTTATGAACCTCAACAGAATAAATCTAGCAGGTAAGGCAAGCAGTTAAAGGGGAAAGATAGGGAACCAACAACAGGAAAATAACATGACATGGATAAGTCAATACGTATCAATTATAAGCATCAGTGTTAATGGTCTCAATTCACCAATCAAAATGAACATCCTGGCAGAATGGATCAAGAAGCAAGATCCAACATTATGCTTCATACAAGAAACACATTTAATTCAAAAAGAAATTCACAGACTGAAAATCAAAGGATGGAAATCAATACTCCATGGGATAGGAACTCAGAAGAAATGCAGACAAAGTGGATTTCTAGCCAAGACTCATGAAGAGAGATGAAGGAGGTCATCACGTGCTTAGGGAGCAATCCAAAAGGAAGAGATAACAATCATAAGTATATATGCCCCAAATACCAGTACACCCAACTGTGTAAAACAAATATTAATGGACATAAAAATCAAGTAAGCTAAGACAATTGTATGGGGGACCTCAATACCCCATTGTCACAAATAGATCAATTAGGCAAAAAATCAGTAATGAAATATCAGAACTGAATCAAACTTTTGAACAAAATGGAGTTAGTAGATATCTATAGAGTGTTCTACCCCAGAACATTAGAGTAGACATTCTCCTCAGGTGCACATGGGAAAGTCTACAAAATAAACCACATTCTAGCTCACAGAATATGGTAACTAACTGAAATTATCCCATGCAGATTATCAGACCATAGGCCAATAAAATTTGAAGTAAATGGGAAAAGAAATCACAACCAACTACATAAACACATGAAAATTAAATAACATGTAACAACCAGTGGGCCACAGATGACATTAAAGAAGAAATTAGACAGTTTCTACAATTAAATGATAATGGCAGTACAAGATACCAGAACTTATAGGACAAAATAAAAGCTGTCCTGGGAGAGAAATTTATAGCAGTGAATTCCCATATCAGAAAAACAGAGCAAGCTCAAATAACCTAATGTTAAACCTCCAGCTTCTAGAAAAAGGACAGCAAACCAATTCCTAAGCTGATATGAGGGAGGACATTATAAAGATCAGAGCAGACATTAATGCAATCGATGCTAAGAAAATACAAAGAATCAATTCAAAGAGTTGGTTCTCGGAAGATTAAATAAAATCGACAAACTCTTAGCCAAATTTACCAAAAAGAAAAAAGAAAGAAAAGACAAGACTCAAATCCATGCAATTAAGAATGCAAAGGTTGGGGCTGGGGATTTAGCTCAGCGGCAAAAGCGCCTGCCTGGCAAGC